AATATTTGATTTGAAGATGCAGATGTACTACTATACTACTACTACTGCTACTACTACTACTAATGCTGATGATAATAATAATAATATTAATAATAATGGACTATATTATAGAAATGATGGCAAGATAAGCCTCTTCATGGTCAATATATGCAATTTTTACGGAAAAGAAACTGCAAGAAATTGCTATAAACACTATGCATACCAGGTTACATACTTAGGACCTGTAACAATTTTAAGGGAATTTACAATACCCGCAGAAGGAACAATCGAATTTAATCGCCTAGATATCGTGATCAAACCCCCCCACCACCACATCAAAAAATGCCTTCTCATTGACATGTCAGTTCCTGCAGACGGTAAAGACTTGAACATCCTCTAAGAACCATAAAAAAATACAAGGATCTTGAAGTGGAAATCTAAAAGATGTGACACATGAGGGCATCAGTAATTCCAATTGTAGTTTGTGCCCTTGGTTTGATTGAAAAAGGTTCCGATTTACTGACTGAATGGATCCATGGTAGTCAATGCCTTAAAGAAATACAAAACATTGTGAAGTACAGCTCAAACTTTATGAAGGGCTTTATATATGTAAATGAGTGCGGTCATAGTTTTTTTTTTCATTTTGCAAAAATACTCAGTGGAAAATGTCATGTAGCCATTTTTTACCTTAGATTTCTGGTTGGGATCAGGAAGAAAATGATTATATAACAGAAATGAAAGGAAATAAAACAACAACAACAACAACAACAATAATAATAATAATAATAATAATGAGAAGTCGAGGACCACCGACCCAACATAATTGTGCAATATTATGTAGAAAACACTTGTCTTCTGATAGTTGGTGCAACACCAGCCGACAAAAGTTCATCTTTGAAAATTTTTGAGAAACTAAATACATATAAATCTCCTCGAGATAGAAATTAGTAGTATGTGGCATGTCAATACAATAATATGACCTGTTATTATTGGATCTTTGAGGAATGATATCAAAAAGAACAAACAAATACGTGGCTCAACTTCCTAGTAGCCGTAAAATATATGAATTGCAAAAGAAAATAAAAAAAAAAATCATAGGTACTTCTTCTATTTTGTGGTAATTTCTTTCCATGCAGTGACAACAATTGAATAGTTTTCTCCCAGATTGCATGGCACTTCATCCGTTTGCATCTGATACAAAATGTAACACTTGAGAAATTGTCTTACCTCCGGGACGCATATGGATTCAGATGTGTCTCGCATGTAGACTATTTCCCAAAAGAAAATGGCGACTTTAGGAGTCGTGTACTTAAGAAAGATGAATCTGGAAGTCGGATGAACTCTAGAGAGAATTTCTTTTAATATATGCAAATTTGAACTGACAATCTATACAAGGCGCTTAAAGAGACGACAGAAGTATGATTGCGGTAGGGAACAGGAAAAACGTGTTGTGGGATCGCTTGACTTAAGCTTCTCTGTCTATATTTCTGAGATGAGATATTGTAATTATTTACATTGTTTTGACTGTTGCTATATTCATGACGTTTTGCTCGTTGTACATTCAGAGCGGACAACGGTCGAAACGTCGTGAAAATGGAAATAAAGACGAGGACAACAGTCTGGAAAATGTAAATAATATAGATAATTAAGCTTCTCTGTTGGTTAAAGGGAAAAAAAAAATAAGTGAACTTTATCACAAGCCAGAAGAAACTGCCTACAATGTCATTTTCTTTGTTGGTATACGAATCAAAACGAATCAGATTGATTTTATTCCTTATTTTTACAACACTAGAGATGAAAATGGATTCAGACGTGGCTCGCATGTGAAATATCCTCCCCATCAAAAAAATGGCGACTAAAGAAGTCGTATAAATATACGACTCCTAAAGTCGCCATTGAATCTGGACATTAGAGAGAATTTCTTTTAACATATAAAAATTTTAATTCTCAATCTATAAAAGGAGCTTAAAGTTAATAGAAGTGCGACTGCAGTAGCGAGCAGGAAACACGTGTTGTGGGATTGTTTGACTTAAGCTTCTCTGTCTATATTTCTGAGATGAGGTATTGTAATTATTTACATTGTGTGCGGACTTTTGCCATATTCACGACTTTTCGTCTGTTGTACGTTTGGAGCGGACAATCTCTGAAACGTTGTGAATATAGCAATAAAGATGAGGACAACAGTCTGTACAATGTAAGTAATTACGCTGCTCTGTTGGTTGAAGGAAACGAATTAAGGAACTTTATTCCAAGTCAGAAGACTACTGACAACAACAAACAAAATCAACTTGTCTCCTGAAGTCTCTGGTTGAGATGGCAAACTCGTACGACACAATATGACAAATAAGAATAATAAAAGACGTAGAATTATGGTTTCTGTTTGAATTTCTACGATGAAGAGCTATCCTTATTTACACTATATATTTGTTGTTATCAAAACGTTTCGGCTGTTGTACTCTTCGGCCTTCCTCAGGTCCATATCGACCCGGATAGCCAACAGAGAATTCCAAACTGAACCTTTTATTTAATCTAAGGGTGTAAACTGTTCTCCTTCCATCTCCTTATTATTAGTAACTACTCAGTTATTCATCGCCGTGTTTTTTATTCACCGAGTCCAAGTACACAGTGTTGATTCCTGCAATCTCAGTTAAAATTTGAACACGGTTCGCTGATGCAGTTTGTCTTACTCGTATCCTTCACACCAGCCGCACACCATCTGGTTATTATTACAAAGAAGATGAAAATGATGAAAAAAAGAAAGAGAAAAATAAATGAGGTAATAGACAAATAAAAAAAAAATAAGAACATGTTATTTTTATCGACATTTTTGCTTTTTCCTTTGTTACCCACGATAAACACAGGTGGTTTAATTTCGAGACAATGTATTGCAAAGGACAATTGGACGTTTTTAGAAGCTGAGAAGCGAAAATGAGAAAAAGCAGGTGCTTCCAAACAGAAAATATAAATTTGGTGAAAAATGATAAAGCTTATTTTACTGAAATCAACTTGTAATCTTCTCATATCGAATTCATTAGCATAAAGACCATTTTATTGACCAACCAAATAAAGAAATAGTCTGATATGACACTCCACAGCTTCCCTTTCATGTAAATCGTACACTGACATAATTGTTCTTGATAAAGAATTTTGAATTCAGCGTTTTGCTTCTAATAGGCTGATTGCCAAACAAGTCCAGAAAGGCAAATCTGTTATTTAGCCTAAAACTCGTGAAGATAAGAGGGATGAATGGAAACTTTTTCAAGAGCTGAATGCAAAAGAAATACAGTTTCGGATGGAATTAGAACTCTACCCGCTAAATTTATTTTGCGCTATTGTCCATTATCCTACATCTATATTTCAAATATGGTGGAATCATTACCAATTTTCCTAATACTAATGGTCAGGGGTAAGGCGCTTAATATAATTCTCATCTTCTGATAAAATTTTCATTTTCTATATTCACTTTTACATCTAACACGGGGACAAAAAAAGAAATGTCTTGTGGGAAGAATGTGTTGTGTCAGTTTCACCAATGGGAAATAAAGAGAAATGAAAAACTCTTTCCTTAACACGGGATATTCCCCAATCACATGTATGAGGTACTCTCCAAACAAATGTGTGAGGTACTCTCCAATCAAATGTGTGAGATACTCCCTAATCAAATGTGTGAGGTAATCTCCAATGAAATGCGTGAGGTACTACCCAGTCAAATGTGTGAGGTATTCCCAGTCAAATGTGTGAGGTACTCTCCAATCAAATGTGTGAGGTACCACCCAATCAAATGTATGAGGTACTCTCCAATCAAATGTGTGAGATACTCTCCAATCAAATGTGTGAGGTGCTCTTCAATCAAATGTATGAGGTACTCTCCAATCAAATGTGTGAGGTACTCTCCAATCAAACCTATGAGGCATTCCTCAATCAAACGTATAGAGTACTCACCAATCACATGTGTGATGAATAAAATGTATGTTATTTGACCAGAATCGAGCATTATTGAACATATGACACTAAAAGTAGGAATGATTTTCAATCTTTTTATTCCAAGTTGTCTGCCCTTGCCGTAATAAAATGTCGGCTATAAAAGTTGAAGTACAAGTACAATTTCAAAATACGTCTCTGTTTATCTGCGAAGTAAAATAAACAGTAAGTTAAAAAAATTATATGGCATTTAAAATAATATAAAATTCTATTTCTATTTATTTTTTTCTCATTATTAACTTGACCAGATGTAATTGTATTAGGGATGCTAACAGCTACAATGATTTCGGCATTGACAAGATTACAGACATAATAAATGAAATATACAACAGTGGTGATATACCGGAAGACTTCAGTAGAGTTATTTTTTTATAGAAGTGTTTAAGAAACCAAGTGCAAACGAATTTCAACTCCATCAGACAATCATCCTAATGAGTTATATAGTAAAATTTACCATCTGAATTTATATGAATAGATTACGGAGCAGAATCAGACCGAAAACAGGACAAAAACGTGCGGCATCTTTAAAGACAGGAATTTCGATATTTATTCTCAGTATAATATCAGAATGAACAATAGTATATATGTATGTTTTATAGATTATGTAAAAGCGTTTCATAAAGCAGGTTAGAAAGAAGTGTTACGTTGGATTAAAAAAATATTGTTTAGAATATCTTTAATTTTCATTGGAAGTGGCTTAGTGCCGTCATGTTTTTTTTGTTTTTTTTTTATAAATTTACATTTTTCGACATCACCCCACAAAACTTCCATCCGTTTTTTCGCGCACGAATGATTAGTGTAAAAAAAAATGAATATATTTTTATTTTTAAATTCAAGTGTCTGAATATACCATAAGAGTTCAATCTATAGAAATAGGTAATTGGTCCATCACTCGAGTGATGTGAAGAATGTGAAAGGTGAAGTTTCAATGCATACTGCAGTTATGATGCATCCAGATCAATTTCCTGCGAGAATTATGAATCTTACGAGATTTCCGAATCAGTCGTGTTCAACCGCAAGACTGAAACTTGGCATCGAGAATGAGTGACAAACTCAACAGGTCAGGGTAGCGAAGTGTGACTATTCAATACATCACTCACAAATATAAATAACAAACGGATACACCACATCCTGAAAACATCGGAAATTCAATCATAATTAGTTACATGACTTTATACTCAAAATATACAATAATTTTGGAAAGCAAAATGGCGTCTCTATGTGGATGTAATATCCAATCAAATATGTAATAACATTAGCCGCTTTTTTAAAAAGAAACATTCTCCATCTATTAACGAAGCAGCCGTCGTTCGGAATTTATATATATATATATATATATATATATATATATATATATATATATATATATATATATATATATATATATTCATATTAAAACAATTTTTCAGGAAAATAAGTTTCTCATGTCCACTGTTACCGTTCATTCCAGTATTGATGGGCAATTCTTTCAGAACCATTTTTTCGAACGTCTGTGGAAAGTCAAAATCTTGTTTATATCATTATTTTATCTTCGAATCATATTTGCAATCCATTTTAGTTGTTGCCGCTATTGGAAATTCTCAAATGATGTAGTTTGTGTTCTTTCGTACAGTTCTTTGTTTATGATTTTGTATCGAAAGTGCTCGATGTTCGAAGGAGGTTGGTCCTCGCTAACAACGTATAGGGTGTGATTAAACCATAGGAGATTCCCAGAGATAAAATTGAGGGAATAATAAAAGGCTTACATTACGTATACACACACACATGCACATGCACACATATGTATGTGTGTCGGTTACACGAGTAAAAGTATATATAAATATTTATTAGTCAGTCTCACTATATGTAAGCTTGAATAATGTTTAATGAAATGCGTCACCAGCTTATATGTACATACATACATACATCAATAAAAGCAAAAACACACATAAACACATACACACACACATATATTTATACATATATACACAGATGCTTGCGTGCGTGTCTGAATGGAGATTTTTCATCTCTGTGTAGGTTTCTTTTGTTGAAAAAATATATAAACTTACGTTTTGCCCTTACTTGAAAAATTTCCGCTCATAGAAAATAAAGATTGCAAACAGAACCTATGTGTGTTCGCGCGCGCGCGAGTGAGAGAGAGAGAAAGAGAGAGAGAGTGAGAGAGAGAGAGAGAGAGAGAAAAGGGAGTGGTAGATAACGTATAAGAGAGTGAAAACAAAATCTCGCCTTGAGAGATTTTTTTCAGTGTCCTATAAAATACTTCTTTTGGATTCTTTTCTTTTTCTGTAGAAGTTAAAATAGCACACACACACACACACACACACACACACACACACACACACACACACACACACACACACACAAACAAAAATCAAGAAAACGTATAAAGCGCTCCCATAAGATTAAACATTTTTTTTTCTTTTCAAAATACGAAAGACGACATTCGGCCGCCAGGTACCGCCTGATAGATACCATCAGTTGAAACCAATATATCACTGAAGAAAGAGATAATCCAAATTCTTTCTTTCTTTCTTTCTTTCTTTCTTTCTTTCTTTCTTTCATTCATTCTTTCTTTCTTTCTTTCTTTCTTTCTTTCTTTCTTTCTTTCATTCTTTCTTTCTTTCTTTCTTTCTTTGTCAACATTGTAATCATTCTATGCCAGTATTTCCTTCTATCTGTATTTTGCTCTATTTCTTCGTTTTTTCTTTTTTTCTCCTGTTTTCCTTTCATCTTTTCTTCTTTCTTTCTTTGGTAGTATTTCATTCTTAGTTTTTCCAGTGTAGGTATTACATTTTTTCTTTCTTTCTTTCTTTCTTTCTTTCTTTCTTTCTTTCTTTCTTTCTTTCTTTCTTTCTAAGATCATTTCCCTCTCTTTCTTTCCCTCTCTTTCTTTCTCCGTTTTTCTTTCGTCCTCTTTCTTTTTTCCTAAATCGAGAGAGTTCTGTGTATTTTGTTTTGGTCTTGTGTACTCCTGATAGGTTAACGTAAATCGTCTTTTCTTTGAATTCCCCTAGACACTGTGCCATTGATTAGCTGCTTCCAGTTAGGACCTTTGCTGCACACCATACCTTATAATCATTCTTGAATTGTTTTCAATTTCTTCTTATTGTGCTTTTAGGAAGTTATCGTTTCCTAGTTTTCTACCTTATTTTATCTTCCCTCGAAATCGTCTGCAAAATCTGATTCTTATTGTTCGAGCGTAAACATTTCTCTTGTCAGGTTTTTATTTGCAAATCACACTGCTTTCAATATTTAATTTGCCTAACTTTAACTAGCATAGTATTCCTCGTGTGATTCTATGTTAGGTTAAGTTAGAAAAGAAGATCATTGGAAGATTGTGTTGCGTCAGCATTTTTTGTTGGGAGGTTATTTATTAATAACACTAAAATTAAAGTCTTTTTATGCTTATTATCTGATTATTGTTTCCAGAAGAAAATGCATAATCAGTTCAGTTATTAAGCAAACTCTTTTTTTTAATCATGGTCGGTTTATATTTATCTATTCACTGACATCAAACCCATTTTAAACTGAGTTTGTGTCACATGAAAAATACACATATTTATCTATCTAGTTTTAAACAACTGTGATTTTTCGGCAAAAAAATAAATTTACACGAAACTGAACAAAAGTATGAAACAGAAATAGAAACATCAATCCATCGTATAATAAAATGTCGAATTAATCATAGGAAAATAATTTTCTAACTCACTGACGCTTCACAATTATCTAAATGAAACAAATGTTCATTAGAAATGGTCTAAAAATCGGCTAATATAACTGTACCGAAATCATACAACAAATTCCATAAAAATGCAACAGAAAACCTACAACTACATCACAAACTTCTACGATACCCACATATAACTGCCGAACAAATCATGAATATCTAGGAAATAATTTCTACTTAAAACATGCAATATCCGAAGCTATAATTAGCTCAATCTTAGTGGGTGTCGAAAGAATTATGGGATACAAGAAATGGACACTTCCTTATTTTTTAGGGTTATTTATAGATTTTTAGGTCATTTATAGTCATGGGATTCAGTTTTCTTATATTGTTTATTTATTTTAAATTTATTTTTTTATTAAGTTATATATTTCATTTATTTATTCGTTTTATTTTGGTTCTTTATTTTGTATGTAAAACAACTTTATTCGATTCGGGGTTTTTATTTATACTTTTTAGAGATTATACATTTGTAGGTAGCGTAGTAGGAATTTGTTTCCGTCTTTGCATTTGGAATTGGGCTTCGCTGTTTTTTTTAGAATTTTATCTTATATATGGTGAAACTGATTTTCGCCATATTCTTCTCTAGGAATTAATGCATGTAGCGAGGAAATAACTTCCTTGTTTTAGAAGTAATGTAAATTAAATTCAAGTAAAACTGAATAGACATCAATATACTAACGGGAATTCTCTCAGGATCAGGTAAAAGTTTCGACTCTTACTCGCCTCGAAGTCATGAACGAGACAAGCCCTGTTAAATTATATAATCTATCAGAGTAATTGATTCTAAATGCTTCCTATTTGTTTTTTAGCTTTAATACTGTAGTCTTAGTCTTAATGCTGTAGTCATTTTGTGTAACAACCTTCAGCAATTTTTACAAAGTCTTGTTGTGTCTTCTTACAGTATAAAATATACAATATAGTTAATATTATTATAACCCATAGCAGAAAAGAATATATTCTGTTAAGACTTAACAGAATATATTCTTTTCTGCTATTGCCCAGCGTTAGTTTATTCACATGTCTTGTTTGTAAAATAAAGTCTTTTATCTTTGTCAAAATGATGTTCAAACTCATCTTTTAATATATTTATTAAATGTTCAATACATATTATGTTTAAAAAGAGGAGTTTAAACAGTTTGGAAGATGACTTTATTCAAAAGATCTTATTTTATTGTCATTCGATTAAACTTAATAAACATGGTGCTTAAACATTAATGTAAGACAAGATAATATTTCGACTGAAATTGTATTTATTTTGACGTATTCGGTGTAGATATTTATTGTTAGGTCAGGGGAAGCACCAGTAATTATCGTAAAACTAAGAAAAATGCTTACTTATCTTAAATTATTTACACTATTTACATTGTTCGAACTGTTGTGCTCGTCTTTGTTGCCATATACACGACATTTCGGCCGTTGAACGCTCCGGACTCCTTCAGGTGATTGGAATTTCAAATTGAACACTTTATTTCGTCCACCGGGGGTGGGTGGGTCAATTGTTCTAGTTCCACGTGCCATACCTCTTCTGGATATCTGCGTATCAATTATCAGCCTCTTCTATTTCTCAGTCTCAGTTATCTCCCTTTAACTCACCAAATTTTTCTTCACCACTGCTGTAGCCAGGTATTGAACCCACAACTTTTGGGTCAATTCACTGGATTCAACTAACGCTTTTATCCACGAGTCACGTAACCCTGAAATTATAATCAACTGATATACTGTCTAATTTCTGAGTGGCTATATGAAATGTTGCCTACTTGTGTCCCAGTGAAGTAATTAACGACTGCCATTATCAATGATAATTTATACTTTCAGAATCTGTAAAGGTAAAAGAATGTCTATCTTGAAACTGGTTTGGTTTGGTTTGGTTTGTTTTACGGCATATCAACCTCAATGGGTTAGTTAATACCGACAAAAATGTATTTCTGGTAATATTTTTTTTCAAGATTCTATTTCAGGTAATAATTTTTCTTCAAAAATGTATAGCTGGTAATATTTTTTGCAAATTATTTCTAATATTAAAACCTATTTTTACACTTTCATAGTGTTTTAACCCCAGTTTCCTGGTTAACTATTTGCTTATAGTTGAGACCCTAACAGGTGCTACCACACCGGATCAGGGTAGACCTGGGAACACCAGCAATTAAGAGGCGGTTCCACGCTTCTCAAAAGCTCCTGATGAGAGGACTTACTGTTGGACGTAGTTTATCGTCATACCCAGGGCGCCTTTGAAACTGGAATATAGGAATCTCAAGTGTGGCGTCTTGTGGACGTTTTCAAAATTTCGGGTTAATACCTTTCAATAAATCCTCATGAGCTGTCTTAGAAAATAGTTTTCCAACAAATAACAAAAAAAAATGAATTCTTTATGTAAAAAAATGTGTGTGAAGAAGAAAGCCTTATCGGTTTCTTGCAACTGATCCTGAGGCAAAAAAACAATTGGTTGAAAACTTGTGATTTGAAAGACTTCAGAAAAGATCTGAAAGACGCTTTTTTTTTCTTTTCTTATTCCTCCTTTTTTCATTGGCTTAGTGTTTTTTTTTATTTTGTTTGTTTTTAAATCATTTCCAAAGTTGGATTATTGTCAATTTGTGCTGATTAGAAATTCTCACTGGAGTTTGAAATTCTTTTCTTTATTTCCGGCTGATTATCTAAACCTGGAAAGCAAAACAAATAAGAAACATCTGCAACAAAAATGCCGTACATTTTCCTTTCACGTTTTCAGTTTAGCTATCTAATCGAAAGCATATTTACTACACATTGACTTGTATTGTTCGAGAAACGTTAAGTAATATTAAAACAAACGAAATATTCATTATATATTTAATTTTAAATATAAGAGTGAACATTGAAGTCAACACTCAGAGGCGACATACTGTTTCATGCTAGATGCAATCATGAGGCCTGATGATTGCGTTTGGCATGAAAACAGCCTGTCACCTCTGAGTATTAATTTCAATTTTCACTTTTATATTTACATGCGCTCTATCTCTGATATTGAGCGCTTTATCCCATAAATATAGCACACCTTAAGACTATATTTCTTCATATATTTATTAATTTTTCGTGATTGTTATTTTATGACATTTCAAGAATAGACCACAACCAATTTCTTTACAGAATGAACTAATTTACTTTTAATGATTTAATAAAACGACTCATGAATATTTTAATGATAGTTTCCTATCGTCGTTGCAATATATGCTAACATGTTTTTCTTTTGACCGATTTTTGAATTTCGAAAGAAAAATATATAAAAAGGGAATATTTTGTGCACAATGTATAAATATGTAAAGGTTTATGTAAAAAATAAATATCAATATTTTATTATAAAATCGCAGTGTCTCATGATATCGGATTTATAATATATCTCGGCTTATTATTTTCCACATGGTTTTCTCAAATATGAATGTCGATGTTTTCCATTTAATTCTAATAGATATATTAATTATATGTTGAAATATTTCGATTATATTTACTCAGATCTAAGAATGAAATAATATATTAGATTAACTTTAACGACGAAATCTTTTATTACGTGGCTTAGTAAATTATTGTGTACTTCGACGTAGTGTAATGGTTAACAAGCATGTCTCGCTAGATTAATTACGATTAAGTAGTGAGTTTGATATTCACTGGTTGTTCCATACTTCCGGCCTTGTGCTACATCTAATTTAATCTCAAGAAATCACTGCGCACTGCGAAGTGGTGTAATGTTTAACTAGCTTGTCTCGCTAGATCAATTACAATTGAATAGTGAGTTCGATCCTCAAAGGTTATTGCAGAATTTCGGTCTTCTGCCATATCTAATTTAAGTTTAGTAAATCGCAATATCATTCTTATTCCATCATTAAATTGTTTTCCTTTATATTTTTACATTGTGCCAACTGACACCTGTATTTTTTATTTCTTCGTAAAAGTATAATTTTGATTTTGAATCGATGAATTCTTTTAGTACTTGTTTGATATCTGGAAATTTCCACCCCATCCCTAACCAGACAGACTTAAGGTCGTATCACGTTGAGACACCGGTTCTTGTACGATCACCGAAGTTAAGTAAAATCGAGCCCGGTCAGTACCTAGATGGGTGACCTCATGGAAATACCACGTACTGTATACTTAGATTTGTGTATGGTGGATAATGACTTGGAATTAGGCATCGGATATCCGAGTTCGAATTCCAGTTGGGTTTGTTTATATTCACTTATGCGCTAATACTCTTGGGAAAGGTATGAATCCAACTTTTCTCCCCCGGCTATGGGTTAGTTAGTAGGACTAGTATCAGTAAATCATGATTATCTACAAAAAATCGTACAGTCTAAAACTACTTTCCTGCTTTAAATGACATGTAAAAAGTTGATAAACCGTAAAAATCGATCAATTTAAACAGACAAGTAATTTTGTGTGGAGCAAAACAAGAGACAGTCTGAAAGTCACATATGGAAAAGAAATTTCTCTCTCACTTCCACAAGTATTTGCTGCGTAACATTTACGACTTGCAGACGAACGTTTCCCATAAAACAAAACAAAAACATTTTTTTCCGGAGCCAATTGATCACAATAACATTGAACAGTAACACTTTGTCTCGGTTCCAGCAATTAGCAATACATTATTTCCGTTTCAACCTCTTGTACCACACAGAAAAAGGGGGGAAAAAAAAAACAACTTTTCCACTCTAGGTCATATTGAAAACTATTCCGGATGTAGCCACGGTTTGCTTGTTTTTTCGTAAAAAAATGTCCCTCTTTTATCACCGGGGTTTATGATGTTGGTAAATGCTTTTTCCTGTTTCTACTATGAGCAGAAAAAGCCTTTCAGACTCTGATCAATATTCGTTTCCGTAGTTTCATGTGAGACCGATTTTCCTAACTTTGGAATGTTTTCTAACGCTTGTAAATAACATTCTATAGTTGAATGATCACATCTGTAATTACAAGTCGAGTAGGCTTCGAAAATACTTCTAAGATTTTCCTAACAACGCAGAAAAATGCCACTGGAAACTACATGCCAATCCGATAAATGTGACTATTATAATTCTTATTACTTTTTGTTGTAATAATGAATGAATTCAGACGTTTATTCATTTTAGATGTTATTACAGTTATTCGTATTATGATTATTATCCTGTTTCCATCTGATGATGGGAATGATAATTTGCCAGTTTTAACATCGGGTTCCTGTCACTCTAAAATGCGAAGATAAAGATAAAATGTATTGCTGAATAAAACAGGAATTATGGATGCCAAAAGCGATGGAATCTAATTTAATTCTTCAATCATGAAAACATAAAAATTCTGAATCAATAAAAATAAAAATTCACAAACAGTTCCAGTAATGGCGAAATCTTCGTTGATGTAGACACAGTAACTTTTGATGGTTACTTAATGAAATCAGAAAACTGAAGAATGAGTTAAAATATGCGAAACCATTTGAAATATATTTTAATCGAATATATAGAAATGTGGTGATAGCATAAAAGTTTTTTTCTTAACATTGACATTCAACAACTGTTTTGTAGAATTCACTTTGCATATATATTTAAAAAATATCTTATTTAAGAATTCATTTAATATTATCGAAAATGCCGAAAATTCAAAGAAACATTGCTTGATTTCTTTTTCAAAAGAATCCATTTGCGATTAAACATATTCATTCTCTTCTAACCAGTATGAAAATTCATCTATTGGAATCAACACCATCGGAAAATTATTTAAACTTCATAGTTTTTATCATAACATTTAGAGGTCATTGCGTTAGATCCTTTTTTTTTAGATGTGAGGGCTGGAATTTATGACAACGAAAACCTTCTAAGATTAATGAAGATGAAGAGATATTACGATATAACAACAGCTGTTGATGTGACTTCGGATCGCATGCACTAGTCTAGTAAATACTATGCTGAATTTTGTTTGGAAAATTCAGCATAGTATTTACTAGACTAGTGCTACTTTGCGTAGTCGTTTTATTTTCGATTGGTTCATTCTTCAGTCCTCGACAGATGAACAACAAGTAAGAAAAGAGAAAAACATATCTACAGAGCAGCATGGTGACCTTTAGAAAGGAATGTTTTTTTTTTCACTTTTTCTAATGGATTTTACACTTGTCGTGTGATGAACGAGAACCAACCAGAATATCAAGTACGCCATGAAGGATTTCATTTACTTGAACAACATTTGAAATATTAATGATTTTTCTAAACGTTATCAACAATAACGATGCCTCTTGTCGTTAGTACAGACCATATGACAATATCAAACATCATGGTATTACATATAACGTCAAACGTTATGCAATCTAATTCGATGACACGTTCTTACCTAGAATGATGCAACGTCATATAAATATTTGTCTATATTTTTTAGATGAGGTATTATGTACACTATTTACATTATTCGGACTATTGTTCTCATCTTTGTTGCCATATTTATTACAACGTTTCTATCTTTCAGTATCTGTTTATATTTTTGAGATAAGGTATTATGTACACTATTTACATTATTCGGACTTTTGTTCTCATCTTTGTCGCCATATTTATATAAACGTTTCGGCCGTTGTACTCTCCTCAAAGACACATGGCACAGTGTGGATAAAGGCGTTGGTTAGATCCAGTGACAGGACCCAAAGATTGTAAGTTCAATACCCGGTTAAGGCAATAGAAAACTTTGAGAGGGGAATTAACAGGAGATAACTGATAACTGTCATTCATTAAACATGGAACTAGATCAGTCTACTTCTAAAGGGTTCAGTTCGACATTCCAAGCACCCGAAGAAGGCCGGAGCGTACAACGGTTGAAACGTTGTAAAAAATATGGCGACAAAGATGAGGACAATAGTCCGAATAAGGTAAATAGTGTACGACATATCAAGTATCAAATCTGTGTTAAGTCTAGGGTTAATTTAAAAACTGGAAATTTATGATTTGGTTTAAGTTTCCTATTTATAGGTTATATCAACAATAATAGTAATTTAGTCGAAATATATCAAACTCGTTTAAATCCTTCATCGTTTATGTCTATCCAAAACGTGGACATAAATTCTTTCATAAAAAGGAACAAAATAACGGAGGGAATATTTTCCTTAAGGCACAATTATGAGGTTATAAAAAAAAACGACACCGATTTTCGCATTTTTCTAAAATATAATTTAAAGAGAAGAATAATGCATACATGTATTTTAAACGCTGTGGAAAAACAATTTGAATGTTGGGCAAAAAGAAAGATGTAAAATGTACTAGTAATACATACATACATACATACATACACACACACACACACACACACACACACACACATATATATATATATATATGAAGAAATATAGTCTTAATGTGTGCTATGTTTATGGTATAAAGTGGTCAATATCAGAGATAGAGCGTGTGTAAAAAATATATATATATATATATATATATATATATATATATATATATATATATATATAGCTTTCTTTTGAATTTGTAAGTCTGATGAATTGGATGGTGATCACGATGCCAATGTAATAAATTATAACCATGGAATATTAGTATTTGAGCCTTTTATATCATATTATATATATATATATATATATATATATATATATAATAAATAATGTAATAAATGTCCATAGTTAATAATAATTTTCACAAAAATACATAGTAAAACTCAAGGAATCTAAGTAAAAGATTATACGAACACAAAATGGACATTTTACAAAAAAAACATGCGTTAGTTGCTCATCGTAATGAGATTGAACACAATTTTGATATAGAAATACTACTGTGATCAAAGGAGAAAATAATTCACATCTACGTAAATGTGTAGAGAGTCATTTATTCGCGAGGTCATCCATCCTCAGTAAATTTGTGACCTTTGCTCTTACAACTTTTCACCATTCCTGGCAGATCTTCTAATTTCACAGGGTGGAATACCTACTTACCAAAGTGATGGAAAGATAAAGAAAAACACTCAAAATTAATTCAGCTGGTAAAAAAAAAAACAACTAATATTCCCTACCCACTCCCCGCTCTCGGCTGTGCCTCATTAGCATAACAAAATTCAGTCCGATGAAGTCCAGAAGAACGAAACGCGTGACAAGCAAACGTTTTCCCCTTTGTCATACAATTTCACCACACACACACACACACACACACACACACACACACACACATATATATATATGTGAAAAGTGTCTTTATATAAATATGTATAGGAAACGGCACTCGACTCAGAATTTATTCCGTTTATGTTAATTTGAAACATGCTTAAACGCAATCATCAGGCCATGAAATTAAATAAGACAATATCTGAGTGTTGACTTCAATATCCACTTTTATATGTACATACGCTCTACGCCTGTGTCGAGAAATTTGTTTATATCTTCAATCGAAGGGAATTATTGAACAATTAAGGAAACCATTTATTTCGTATATAGCCTGTGTTATGAAAATGACAGATATATGTTGTTTACTTTCTGTAAAATAGCTAAGTATTTAATATTCATGGAAAAAATATCTTACCTGGCGTCCCTTTTACTCTTGAAAAACAGTCAACAATATCCTCTTTGGGGGTCACCATTACCTGTCACGATATGTTCTCCTTAATCTTGTTTACGGCGTCTCAACCATTATTTCTTTTTTGAGAAATACCAGAAATCACAGTGGCCAAAATCGAAACTGTATGGCATGCTTATAAATGTGAAGAAAGTATTAATTCGGTCGTTAAAAACATGATAGTCGCGCAGTGAATAAGCTCAATCAGTGGCGTCTCAATATCGACTGCGCCACCTGCCAGGAGATGGTTTATTTATGCATGCGGAGTAATGTCCCTTTTAATCGATTTTTCAATTTACATTAAGCCGTGTAACCGCTTCTCGAGATATTCAACATGAGTGGATACGTTTCAGAATGATCTCAAATACATAAACCAATTTCCTTTCATTGCATATCTCCTTGTCTCGACGTATTTTGTTTGCAAACATTTCAAGTTGGTACCAATACATCAGAATTTATCTTCGCTACAGTGAGATTCTTTGTGCCTGGAATATATTTCCATTTCCCAAATGCGCCACCGTTCTTTCAAGGAACATCATCAATACCATTGATGATGTTGGCTTTTCCATTTTTGCTTTCCGCATTTGCCTTCTTGTTTTCTCGTTGGGTATCTCCCACTCGTCCACTCCCATTGTGCCAGACACTTGATACCATCTAAGATTACTTTTCTTCGTGATGTGGTTTTCAGGTTCACTTGAAACCTGGCTCACGTTCTTCTCTGTTCAGACGCAGTTGCCAGACTTTGCGTCAGTTATCTCCTTTCTGTGGGCGGGAATTTTTGGTGTCGGGTGCGCTGAGGCGTGCTGCTTGTCAGCTGTGATTTACAGAAGCGAAGAAGAAAACAGAATTTAAAGCTGAAAAAGAAACACAGACACATATGTGTTTGTGCAAAAAAAAGAAAAGAGAATATGAATATTAGAGAGAAGCATTGTCAGTCGTTCTTTATATATTATTTATGTGCACACACACACACACATATATATAAGGTGACAGGTAATAATTCGTATTTTATTCGATAAAGTGAAGGAAAGAGCAGTGTATCTTACATACACATGTACATATACATATACATATATGCACATGTATATGCCCACATACGTTACGATAACTGTCTCCAAATGTACATAAATGTACTAACACATATACATATATACACACACACACACACACACACACACACACACACACACACACACACACACACACACACACATATATATATATATATATATATATATATATATATATATACATATATATGTATAAATAATATCAATTTGTAATTGGTAGGGATAATTCAATGAGGACATTAATAAAATGAGAAGGCAATGTTAGTTACAGAGAAATATATAATGATAAATAAAGACAAACAGCTTAAAAATCCATATTGGTCATAACTTATTTTATGAATATTGTTATATTAATTTCTTTAGACCGAAAGTTTTTAAGAAAACTTTTTCTTTTTAGAAATATATATATATATATATATATATATATATATATATATATATAGTCTTAAGGTGTGCTATATTTATGGGATAAAGTGCTCGATATCAGAGATAGAGCGTGTGTAAATATAAAAGTGAACATTCAAGTCAACACTTAGAGGCTACAGTCTGTTTCATGCTTGACTTCAATGTTCACTTTTATATATATATATATATATATATATATATATATGCGCAAAAATGTATATACATATATATTTATGCATATATATATAAGTGTGTGTGTGCGTCTATATGTATATATATATGTGTGTGTTTATTCAAAAGTTTTCATACTGGTTCAAATTTCGGAAATGTATTGAACCGATACATTTTAAACATACATATACAAGGAATGCATTTGATGTCTGTATAGATTTGTAAAAGTAAAAGTAAGCATATATAAGCTTCTTTATACACGTATCACTCAAGTCGTAAAGGAGAGGAACGGTGTGAGAAGGTGTTATATATATGTAACGCGATCATTAAAAACAAAACAAAAAATAGCAACAAACAGTTATTGCTAAGGGACGATGTGGAGGGAAATATTTTCGGTTCGATCGATCGAACGAGCTTTTCCAAAATAAAATCTTCGTCAAAAATTAAGAAGTGGCAGGTGGGTGTCGAATAGGAAGTTTCCAGCCTCCATATTTGGAGGATCATATGTCTGTTTTGATGCATCCAGTTTTTTCTGTTATCGACACACCGTTGTATTTTCAGTAAACGCATAACGAAAATAGAACCAGTTCTAAAAGATATTGCATTTTTAAGCCTCCCAGCTCCTTGCATCACGCTTTTTGCAAGCAAGTGCGCGCGCACAAACAAACACACACACACACACACACACACACACACACACACACACACACACACACACATCTTGCTATCAGATTTCATGATGTAACACAGATTTTATTTATGTTTAATAAATAAGTGGAGCGTCTACACAAATACGAGTATCCTCCGCCAAAAGTTTAATATGGTAAAAAATCTGATTAATAAAAAATCTATTTACTTTCTTTGGAAAAATTGCTTAAACTAATAATATATATATATATATATATATATATATATATATATATATATATATATATATTATTATTATATATATATATATATATATATATATATATATATATATATATATATATATATATATACTATTAGTATTATATATATATATTATATATATATATATATATATATATATAACCGAGCATTAATATTAGTATATATATATATATATATATATATATATATATATATATATATATATATATATATATATATATATATATTATATATATATATATATATATATATATATATAACTGAGTATTACTATTAGTATATATATATATATATATATATATATGTGTGTGTGTGTGTGTGTGTGTGTGTTTCATTAAAGACGTCAGACAAGTTACTACGATTAAGCATTTTATTTAATTTTTCTTGTGTTCGAACAAGTGTCTTCTGGACACAGAGTGTGTTGAAACTGTTTAAATGTTCTGTAATTCCGAGCGCTTTCGGCTATCATTTTAGCCAGTATCAAAGATGATTTTATTTTTGCTTTTTAATTTTGTGTATAGGTAGTGTGTATATTTCTAGAGTAACAGGGATGTTTTATTTTTCGAACACAGTTAGCACATTGTGGCCGTGTTCGTATTTTATGTTATTGGCTTTTTTAAAAATTATTTTGGCTTCCATGTTTAAATGGCTTCTAATAGAGCTGTAGTCAGATAAGTGTAACGTAAGGCGTCTGGATAGGCATGTAGTAGCGTGACCAATGTAATTATTTATGAATTCGTTTTGATCAGGAAGTTCCTTAAAGGTCATTTGAACTCATAGATAATGTTTCTTCGTTGTAATTTTGCATTTGCTGGTATGTTATTATTTTTGAGGATAATGTTAGCTATTTTAATTTTTTTGTCGTAGTTAATCCGATTCTTTTCTTCGGGTTAATTGGGGTAGCGTATTTCTTTATGATATTTCTAATTGAAGTTTCATCTTGTTTGTAGTTGATGCACACACACACACACACACACACACACACACACACACACACACACACATATATATATATATATTTGATAAAATAAAATAAAGAACAAGTCGGAAATGTGCCTCAATATATCATGTTTCACCTGCATGAAGGCTTCGTCAGAGATGAAGAATAGAAATGCAAAAAGTAAAGAGACAGTATTGGTATGTTATCAGTTTTGGTTAGTTCACATTGGTCAAAATTCTCCACCACTCACACCATTTCAAAGCTCAAAAACGAGCTCACAAAATACATACAACTCCCCTCCACAAAAAAAGCAGATACACCCAAAAATTACACAAAATTCATAGTCTTGCCCTTCAACACGCTTTCGACTAAACTGGTAAATGAATTAGCCATCCTTAAAACTAGAATCCATATCACCACCTCCAAGGCAATCGGGGATGTAATCAAGAAGAAAAATAAACCCAAAACTATTCCAAATGTCGGGATTTATCAGATAAAGTATCTCAAGTGCTAAAACATTTACGTAGGGGAGACATGACGTGAACTAAAAACCCGGATCTACGAAAACAATTAAGACTTGGGTTTAGGAAGACATTCTAACATTCTCGTCTTACATCGAAATTACCTGGGACAAAAACTTTGATTTTACTAATGCCAGGCTAATTAAAAAAAAGAACATGACCCTTTAAGCAGAAAATATTTTGAAAATATATTTATAGTATTACCATCAACTATAAACACATACTTAAAACATTAAATCATAGCACCATTTTTCTATAGATCCATTATTCCTTTAACAAACTTATGTCTATCTAATACATAAAATAATGAAAATATACAAATCCTTTTAAAAAAATACGCATGAAAAATGCTTCAATGATAAATCCAACCAAAACTAGATTATTACAATATCTTACTTCGTTTCAACGACACACACACAGAGGTGACGACCGCAGACATCCCGCACACACACATGCACATACACGAAGATATAAAAATCCAACCAAATGCAAAATTATTGCGACATATCGATACATTTCAGCAAAATGTATTACGAGGAAAACATCTGTAGACATTCCTCAAACGCACAAAGAACACTTTTACACTTACATGAATTAACGTTACTGTTCGACATACGCCTAGACACACAAGCTTTACTTACACCCTCTTACACTATTGCACGCTTTATCGTCCAACATTTTCCTCACACATATATATCAGCTATTGTGTTAATACACGTGATGCGTAACTGACCAATGAGAACAACCAAAAACAATAACATTCTACTACTTAGTCTCTTTGCTTTTTTTCATTTCTATTCTCGATTTCTGACGAAGCATTAATAAAGGGGAAACGTGTTAGATTGAGACACATTTCTTACTTGTTCTTTATTTTATTTTATGATCTTGTCGGAGTCCTGTCAATATCTGATCTACATTTCATCTTCAACTCATATATATATATATATATATATATATATATATATATATATATATATATTTCAGTGAATAATGTAGACATATAGCTTCTATTTATGTTTATAATGATATTTTCCAGTTCTCTGATCAATTTCTTGATATTAAAATGAAGTTCATCAAGGAAGGCACCTTATTGTTTTCTACGTAAGTACTTTCAATCTCCTCTAAGATGAGATGAGGTGTGAATTACAAAGGCGAACTTATTGTAACTGTGATAAAATCTGCATGTCTACCACTTTCCGGTCAGTTCCCTTCTATTTGGACGATTCTTTTGCAAAAAAAATCCAAATAAAAATAAAAAAAAATCTATAGCTACAACTATCTATTTATACATATATAATTTTTTTTTTATCACATTAAAGTAACTTTTAATTGATACGAATAGCAGTTGGTCAGGCTTGACTCCTGTCGGACAGCGCAAATTTTTATTCAGTAAGATATCTGGAACATGATACACTGATCAAAGTATTAAATAATTTACTACGACGTAAATGTGTAGTGAGTACCTGAAATCAAGGTTATTTACAGTAAATTTCTCGCCTTGGCTCTTACGATATTTCAAAATATTGAAATTTATTGCCCTGGCTCTTACAATATTTCAAAATATTGAAATTTCTCGTACATTCTGGCCGTAAATATTGTTAATACTGTTTATTATAAACAGAGCATTTACTTAAATATTTGAATTTATAAAAATAACGTACAAACAGAAAGTATACTAAAATAATTGTCGGACTTAGTTCATTTCATAATATATATATATATATATATATATATGTGTGTGTGTGTGTGTGTGTGTAAATTATTAGTGTTTAATATCTATATATGTATGACGTGTTTTCTA